CCAGGAACTTTCCAGCTCTCCATGTTGCTTTCTATTCCTGAATTCCCTACCCCCTTCAGAGCTGAGCATAAAGGATTTAGGGAGAAGAAATGAAGATTCAATGTGCCCAATGCTGTAACTCCTTCAGATCTGAGACTTTTTCCAAAGAGAGAAAACTACAGATATTTCTGGGGGTAGGGGTTCTAGTCATATCTACCATATGGGTAGGTCATAGGTTTGTCTTAGTTCCTGCTGGAGAAGGGCTGGAGCTACCACAGGCCCAACTCTCAGACTTTCTTCTGTGTCAGTGCCTGCTTTCAGTGGCTGCCTGGCATCTAACATCTCTTCCAGCTGATGTTGGAGTTTGAGCTGGCTGAGCTTCTTTTCCTTCATCCCACCCAGTTTCTGGTCCATTTTGCCACTAGCGGGGCTGAAAATTCCTTACCTTGTTGGTTTTCTGATGAGTAGAGAAACTTCTGGGGCCTGTCTGATTTAGGTAGGGTTTATAGTTACCCCTAAGCCCTTTCTGATTCAATCTTCCAGGAGTTTAAGGAAAATGATAAACATGATTGTTCCTATTTTACAGGTGAATAGACTTGAAAGTCTGAGAGGGATTTCCTGTTTGATTGGTTTCACAGCAAATGACAACAGAAGCTTTTGTCTAGAGGGGCTTCCAAAGACCCCTTCCAGTGTCTTAGCTGGAAGAAGGTTTCCATGTTCAGGAAACCTTCCCAGATTCTGATTTCATTCCCACTTGGTGGAGTCTAAGCTTTGTCTCCCTGTGGGGGGTTGGAAGAACAGCTGTGTACCCTCACTATGCAAGCATCATGTCTCAATTCCCTCTTTATCCACCCCCCTCCAGTCTGAAGGCTGCTGGCTCAGCGGGCCTCCTTCCGTCTAGGGAGTCTGGGTTTGAGCTGGGGTGAGGTGGTGGCACCATCGTTATGGTAACCAGCTGCCAGCTCATCATTGCTAATAACTTGTCAGGCCCCTGGGCTCAGTGCAGAATACCTTCCCACCAGCCCTTCTTCCCATGTCACAGACAGAAAAAGTGAGGCTGTGATAGAGGGTCCTGAGAGGAAAGGAGTCTGGGGAGGCAGGTGTCTTTTCCCTGGGGCTTCACCTGGAGAGCAAGGGAAGGGGATGGAGCTTGCTTGGGGGGTTGTTTACACATTTGGTTACATAGGTTTGTGTTGATTGCATGGGCTGTTACACGATTACACTCAGAACTTGTACATGTTCACACTAGTTGACATGTTCATGTGCTTTTACACAGAAGCCCACAGGCATGCATGCCTCCAAGCATCAGAACATGCTTTTGCATGAATACTGCCTCTACCATCTGCACATAAGGCACCCAAGAAATCTGGGTTTGTGGGGGTGTCCAGGTATGTGAGTGGGGATCTGATCTTTTTCTGATGCAGCTTCAAAGTGTCCTGTTAACAAAGGGACAGAATGGTCCCAGGGTCCCTTCTTTCTTTCAGTCAAAAGCTCAGAGTGGGAGTGGGCTGGGGAGGGTGTGAAGGTCTCACGCTCGAGGCTTCCAAAGGCCTCTGTCTCCATGCCCTTTGAACTCAGGTAGCCCCTGACTCCTTCCCTCTCTGTTCTTTCTCATCCTCTCTTCTCCTTGTGAGTAAATGTTAAAGAGCTGAGCCTGCAGGGCTGATGTAGACATGGGGAGAGAATGAAATTAAAAAGGATTCCCTCGCCCCCATTCCGACACCCCCGCCCTGCAGTCCCCCTGCTCCTGCCTCCTCCTCGCTCCCCTCCCCTCACTCGGTGCTTCCACATGTCTCTCCTCCCCCCAGTCCAGATGGGAGCTGGCTCCTTCAGAAAGGGGGCTCTGAACAGGGTGTGGGGAGCCACCTTTCTGTGCCTCCCCCCAGCACATCTGCCTACAGGGCTGGGAGCCCCCATGTGAGTATTTCTTTTATTTTGGGGATGGTGAGGAAGGAGAGTGTTTTTTAAAACCAGCTGTGAGTGGCATTGAGAGGCTCAGGGCTGGAAGAAGTTGGGTGGGGTCCTATCTGTAGGCTCCCTCAGGGAAGCTCCGGGTCTAGGTTTCTTTTCTTTCTTCGGACATACAGGGAGAGGTCCCAGGTGCCCCCCATGGATGGGAGTGAGTGGGGGAGAAATAGGGGAAGAAGGTCTTCTGTTCTAAAGAGGATGTGTGGTAAGGTAAGCCTGCTTCTTCCTGGCATCCTGGGTTTCTGGCACCTGGGCCATTGTCCCTGGGAGCTGTCCCGAGTGCTGATCGGTACGAGGCGGGAATTTGCTCCTTTGGAGCTGTCCGGAGTGCTGAACGGGACTATGTTCTAGATGATGATGGAAAGGGAACTGGGCAGTGCGGAGGGCTCATTAGGAAAATTTTCCCAGATGACCCACTTTCTAAGAGCATAGTCTCTGTGGGTTTAGGCCTCACAGTTACTGGTGGTATTTGGAAAAGGGACTCCCCTGACCTTGTTTCAGCTCACCCTCCGCTTTCCAAAACTGTCCTACTGTTAGTATGGAGATAGGGATGAACGATGAAATTGTGGCTGTGAGTTCTCTTCTACTTGGATCATTTTTAGTGAAATAAACTTAGGAGTACTGTCACTAGCCCTTGCCTTACTGGGTCCCAGAAGTTCAGCCGAATGGTGGTTCTGGGTTGCTAGAGCTTGGGTCTTGGTGGTTAGGGCTGGAGTGGCTAGAGATTGGGAGTTCAAGACAATCTGATTGCTTGGAATCTCTGCTCACCATACTTTGCTGTTCAGGGCAGGGATACTGAATTATTCTGCAAGCTTGTCTTGTGCTCTGTCCATTCCCAACCCTAGCTCAGAGAAGCATCTAAGAGAGACCTTTGTTGGAGAGGAAGATTTCTAAGCAAAGGATTCAAGGAGTGGGTGGGGTTGTTCAGTTCCATGGGGAAGAGGAGGAAGCTACTGGAGACAGGAAAAGAGGAAAAGTGGGAAAAGAGGAAGTTCTGGGGGAGTAGAAATTATTCAAAGTGAGGGATAAGGTCTGGTTTCAGTCCTTAGTTCCCTTAGATATCTTTTCCCCATTGACCTATATGTGGTTGGGTTTATGTCAACTATATGGGTCCTTATGCTCTATCTTTGTAACCATGGGGAATAGAGCAAGGAGTTATTTCCAGGTCCCTTCCTTGTCATCCCAGGGGGATGAGAACCAAATGTCAGGACATGCAGATGAGACTGTGGGGGAACAACAGGCAGGAGAAGTTGATGGCAGTTCACCTTCCATCCCCAAGAGCCCAATCAAATATTCAAATGGGATCCTTCTTGAGGGGAGAGGAAGGAAAGGGTTTCCAGATGATGCTGAGCAGAAATGGGGTGTGGCAGGGAGTTCAAGACAATGGAGTGATATCTAGGGACCTCAAACTGAACTGGTTCCTCCCTTCTAAGATAAGACTGATAGTTAATAAGGAGCCCTTCACCCATCATGTTTTTGATGTAACTCATCAAGATGATCCCTCCTTTCTCTAGCTGCTTGAGAAGAGCTGAGTTTTCCTATGCTGTGGGTGCTGGGATGTGGTGGGTGTGGGTGTGGGTGCCTGTTTGGGGAGGGGAGGTGTTTGTGCTCCACTCAGCTCCCTTGGTTACATAACAGCTTTGATAAGACTTTACTTTTGAGCTGCTGCTACTGCCTGAAGCAGTCACCCCTCCACCCCCTCATGGAATGCTAGATGTCCACCCCCTTTTTTTCTGGCCCCTTAGAGAGTCCTGCTATTCATGATCCAGTGTTCAAGCATCTGCTTCCCTGCCAGGAGGTGTTTGCAGCTTGCTTCCCTTTTCCCTGGCCAGCTACTGTATTTTTTAAGTACTTGCTTCTTTTGTTATTTTGGGCAAGGTCAACCTCTTTATGTTTATGGTCTACCCTCTCCCTGAGCAGGGTCCTTAGGCTGGGATGGGAGGGTTCATGGACATCATGAAGCTACCCTCTTGGGAAGTAGAAGGACATCCCATGAGGTTTTAGGACCAGAGCTAATTTTCTTACTGCTCGTCCTCTGCTTCAGTATCTGTTTTGGAGTTTGGGAGTGGTGGGACATATCTTGAAGTATCTGGAGAAAAGGATCTGCCTTCATATTTCCTCTTCAGTTCCCTTTTTAGAATTAAAGGGCTATATATGAAGGGTCTGCCTCTTACATGGGAAAAGACACACTAGTTTTGAGGTTGTTCCCACCCAAGTTGTCTGAGCAAATACTGGTTTCTCTTGGTGTGGGACAAAGGAATTTCAGCACTCTTCTTTAACGTGACTTTTTTTTCTTTGGAGAGTGAGAATGGGATGTGTCCAGGAGTGGGGTATATCCTTTGATAACAGGAACAGCTTTCCAAATAGAGACTTGAAGTTTGCAAATAGAAACTGCTCTCTGGAGAAGAGCCAGAGTGGATCAAGTTCAAGCTAGTGGGAAAACAACTTTTGGAGAGCCCCAATGTTCAGTGTGGTCTCTCTTCAATCCCCAGTACTGGCCCCAAAAAGTAAAAAGAAAGAGGAAGAACAAAAAAGACATCTCCCAATTTATGTGTGTGAATGACTTGCAAGTTTGCAAATGAGACTTACGATGTTACTTGGAGAGATTATGGTCTTCTGGCTTATGGTGGACATGGTAGAATCTACTGGATATTTCTGTGTCTTTGACTACCTACGTGGACATTTGTTTGTGTGAGTTTGCTGAATCTATGTGTATAAGCACAATTACATGTACAAGTATGGGCACATATGTACATGTATCTATGTATGATTCTGTGCATGCCCATGTATATTTATGACTGTGAAGGTGATGAATTAAACCACTGTGTGTGTGGTTTATGTGGTGTGCTCTCCTACTGACGTGTATATGCGAGTGTAAGCATGAATATGACCATGCATGTGTGGCCACATATAGCATACATACATGAATTACCAACATATTGATGTATGTGCATAAATTGAGTCATGCACGAGAATAAATCGTATGCATGTCTGTATAAGAGACAGATTAAGAGACATAATTTTTTTCTTTCTTTTTTTATTTTTATTTTTGGTGGTACTGGGGGTTAAAGAGAGACAACACAGAACATTAGGGCTCACCAAAAGTTGTTTTCCCACTAGCTTGAACTTGATCCACTCTAATGCCCGTAGCTCTTCTCTAGAAAGCAGGCTCCTTGAGGTCTCTCAAATTCTCAGGTCTTGGGGAGCCAACTTATTACCAGTCCTATGAAGAGAATTTGCAGAGGGAAAACCTGTTTAGGCCTAGGAGACAGCTGAATAAGTAATCCAGGCTTAGTGTTGTTGGGATGCTATAGTATTCAGGGGTATATGGGAGAAAGAACATGGAAAAAGAAACATTAATATTACTACACAAGTTCTAAGAATCAAGAACAAGTTGGGCTTAGGGGAAGGAAGGGGCAGAGGATACTGTATTAGGAAGGCCCAAGTGTACCCGTAAGCCACATATATAATGGGTATGAGGCAATACATATATACATATATATGTGTGCATTACTTCTCTGTGCCACAATTCATACATACCAACATAGGTGTTCTTTATAGCATACACATATGTAAACAGACATACAGCATACAGGAGTGTATATAGCAACATGGCAGTTTGTCCACATGTACATACATTAACACATACATGCATGTGAACAGAATATACAGATATGTGGGCATATGTTAATACTGGTCTGATTGCAACTCATGGCCATATACATATGTCCCTCATTCACCGTGGTTAACGGCAGCCTACAGACAGTCGCTTCCCCATCAAATTGTCTCACCCAATGCATTCATTCATTCAGCAATGTTTATTTTATCCTGGCACTATACTATAGGCTGTGTTAGACACCAGGGATGGGTCTTGACCTCAGGTAATTTACCACCTGGAAGATGAGGGTAAAAGACCTGGGGCCAAGTAAGGAGAGTGTGAAGGCACATAAATGTCTGTGGGACAGTGGAGACCTAAAGAGGAGGGCCAGCTTTGGTGAAGGAGCCATAGAAGGGGCTCCTTGAGCCAAGGTTTGAAAGTGGTGCAGGGGTTTCTCAGGTGGTCACTGGGGGAAAAGGTGTTGTAGTGGCAGGAAATGTCCCAACTGTTCTCCCTACTTCTTCTCTTGCAACCCTCCTCCATGGACTCTTCCTCCAGAAGCAGCAAGAGTGAGATGAGGTTGTGCCTTTTCAGTAGCCTTCCATCTCACTCAGAGAAGTCCAAAGTGCTTAGGAACATGAGCCTGAGTGACATGAGTGCTGCATGTAAAACAGTCACTGGTTACCTCCCCGATCCTATATGGGCTCTTTTCTATTCCCTAAAGATGTGCACGCTCCCACCTTGAAGCTGTTTAGCATTCGCTTTTCCCTTCAGCCCCAAATGTTCTTCCCCCAGGTTTCCACACAGCTCACTCCCTCACTTTATTCAAAAGTCTCTTTTTTGCAGAGACCTCCCCAACAGTCCAACTTAAATAGCCTTTTGTCATTCTACCCCCTCACTCCAGTTTATATATATATATTTTAAGTCTCAGCACTTGCCACTGCATTATCTCATACATTGGTTTATCATCCCACTTTCCCCACTAGAATATAAACCTCAAGAGAATGGGAGCTTCATACATTTTGGTCACTGCTATTATATCTGCTGTGTTCAGAACAGTATCTGGCTTGGGCTAGACTCTCCATATGTATGTGTTGAATGAACATATTGTAGCTGGGTCATACTGTCAGCCAATGAGGAAGATGGATCCAGGCAGAACAAGATATGGGGCAGGGAGATCAGTGAAGAAACTGTTGTAATACTTTGATGAGAAATTAGGAAAAGGGTGACTCGAGGTAGAACGTTGGCAGAGGGGGTGGAGAACAGGAGATTCAAGGTGGAAGTGTGTGCATACATACACATGTACCTGTGTATTTCAGCCAGTCATGTGCGCTCTCTTAGTAGGGGAGACTAAGGAGGAAAGTGCAAGTTGTATATGTATATGTGATGTGTGTGTCATGAACACCCCACAACAAGCTGGACACCTTCCAGCTAACCCTGGCTGCCATTCTCCCTCTCTTTGGATCTTGTCACCACCACCTACCTCTGCTAGCCAGGCTGCAGTGGGCTGCTAAGCCTGGTCTCTCTGGTTCCATACCCTTAGGTATGCAGAGCTCCTGTCTTAGGGAACAGGAGCAGGCAGGATCCTGAACAATAGAAGCATCTTAGGAAGTTAGAGTCACAGGTAGAGTTAGACACACACACACACACACACACACACACACACAGAGACAGAGAGAGAGAGAGAGAGAGAGAGAGAGAGAGAGAGAAAGAGAGAGAGACTGACCTGTGGACCTCACCAGGAGAAGAACTGAGCCAGAGGTCTCAGCCATGGCCCAGACTTCCTGGAGCTAGATGCAGTGTCCTCCCTGTTCCACACTGGGTTTTCTCTCAGGTGGGTGCCTTAGCCAGGGATGGTTTTAGGAGTTATACCCACCCCTAGCCTCTTAGTGAAGTCAGGTCCAGTTTCTATAGGACAGTCGGGGTTGGCAGTGGGGGAGAACTTTCTCTCCGAGTCTCAACTTTGGTTATTTTTCTTTCTCCCAAGAGACCATGAGGGAATAGAGCTTGTGTTGCAGAATGAGGAGCTAAGGTTAGACTTCAGGCAGGACCAATTGGCTGCCTGCATGAAGGGAATAAGACTTTAATTTGTGGGCAAAGCTGGAAGGAAGGCTGTTGAGAAAATGAGGGAGAAGTGGGAGTGGTGGGTTTGTTCCTGTTGCCCGCAAACCACCCCCTGACCTCCAAGTTCCTCCTCCAGACCTCCAAGCCTGGGGCTGGATTACCTCCATCCAGAGAGACCAGAGCTAGAGCTCTTTCCAGATTCTGGGGTGTAGGGGCCCTTCTGCAGCTCTCTATCGTCAGGGATAGGGGCTGGGTGCCACAGCTGCTCCCCTCCCACCTGGGCTGTGAGCTTGGGGGTTGGGCCGAAACAGCCGCCAGAGCCGCCCACCTGCCCGCGGTGTCATGGCAACGACTCTGCCCACGTGGACGAAGAGGAAAGGGAGGAGAAGAGAGGAGAGGAGGCATCTCGACCGTGTGGATGGGAGGGGGCTTCTCTGGGTCTCTTGTTCTGGCCCCCATCCTCTAGCTTGGCCCTAGCTATAGTGCCTTTCACCTCAGAGTCCCCCACACTCCGGGGCAGGGTGGGGCTGGTATTTCATCTCTGGCCTCAGAGAGTATGTGTCCTTGGGTGTCCTGAGTAATGATGACCTTGGCCTCCCGCACTGTGGAGCCCTGGCCAGGGTCATGGGGGACATGGGGCCTTGGCACGTGCAGCCTTCTCCCTCTCTCCCTACACTGCGAGTCGGGGATGGTGCCTGGGGCTGAGGGGATGAGAGCCCGACCTACTTCTCCATTTTCTCACTATTTTTCAAAAGGAAAATGACCCACTTTTCAACCAATCGGACTGGGGCCTGTTCCCAGGCCGATTCCCTGAGCCCCCCTGCCCAGGCCTCTGCCCCATCCTCAGCCTCTTTGCCATGTGCTGGGCCCCCTTGCTGAGAGAAGCAGGTGCACCTGTGTGGAGGGGTCCTTCCTTGCCATCCGTACCAGCTCAGGGAGGAGCCTGCTCTGAGTGGGGCAGAGGTGGGCCAAGGCCTGAGTGATACTACAGCAGATGTTTTGGGCAGATGTCACTGACTGCCTCAGACCTGGGCACTTTGAAAGTCCTCTGTGCCAGCCCCTTACACTACCAGGATGCCTGGCCCATCTTGTGGAGTCATAGGAAGGGATCTGGGGGCCAGGAGGACTGTGCCCCTTCTCTCACCTTGTTTTAGTGGATGGTGGTGGGCTGTCCTCCCCGGCTGCTCTGCTTGCATGTAGAAAGGGAGAATTATGTTTATCTGTCTGTCTGTCTGCATGGCAGCCAGAGCTCCTCTGAGAGACTCCTCCTAGAGGATTCTGCCTAAGCCTCTCTTTCCAAGCCCCTCCGCCTCTTGGATATTGGTCTGGGCCTCAGAGTCCCCTCCCTCCCTCAGCTATATTGGCCTGGGCTGGCTTGGGGGGTGATTAGGGATTTAATTATTTAGTTTCTCCAGCTCAGTAGATTAATTCCATCCATCACAGGCGGGCCGAGCCTTCATCCCCCTCTCTGGGCTGCCTGGCCAAGCCCAGAGGGAGCGAACATCATTGCTCACCTGGGCCCAGTATTGGATCTGGGAACAATGGATAAAGTTCTTGTTGGGGGAGGATTTGGTGCATGACACTGAGTATATGTGGGTGCCTCAGAGCTGCGAAATGAACACTCAGAGTCCTATGTGGATAAGTATGTGGGTGTATATGTAAGGTTTGCATCCATGCAGCTTCTGTGCACACAAACATCCATGTCTTTTGAATGAAAATGCAAATGTGTATGAATCTTTGAACAAGTGTGTGTGTATCTGTGAACATTCTGTGATGACTGTATATGAGGATGAATGTTGTGTAAGATGTGCGGATGGCTGCATGGCTGTATAATTTATCTCCAGAGGAACATGTGATAAATTGTGAATGAGCAGTCTTGGGAACTTGTATTGCTATGTGTGAGGGAGGAGTGGCAGGATGGAGCTTTCCTGAGGCTGAGTGCTGAGTCAGACCCACTGGGGGAGTCCACCTGCTGGCCTCATCAGACCCGTAAGGTCAGACACATGTGCTACTTTATTTGTGTTCTGTTCTACCTAGGCTTGATTTCCTGGTAGTTGAGAGTATCAGACCCATATTCAAATCCCTGTTCTACCACTTGTGTGACCTTGGGCAATTTTCTTTACATTCTAAGCCTCTGTTCCCTCATCTGTAAAATGGGACTAATGATGGTACCTACTCTAAAGGACAGCTGTGAGGACGACATGAGGAGATGCATCAAAACATGTAACACAGTGCAGGCAAAGAGCTGAACCTTAGACTTCAGAGTTGAAAGGCACCAGAGGTTTGAGTTCCACCTCTGCTTGCACATCTCCCTGAGTTGGACACTTCAGCTCTTCAGCAAAACCACATCACCCTGGCCCAACTCTACCTGCTGTGGAATTCTGGCCCAGCTGCAGAGAGTCATTTCTCCCCTGCCTTCTCCTGATTCTCCCCCTTTCCTTATGTATCAGCAGTGAGATAGTACTTCTTGATGGCTCATTTGCTGACCCTGAATTCATTGAGCACCTATTGTATGCTATTTCTGTCCATACAGTGATAGATCACGTAAATCCTGGCCTTCAAGGAGCTCACAGCCTACAAACAGTTATTTACCATTCTGTGTAAAGAGAGGTATAGGACTTAAGAGGAGGTGGCTCCTGCTGTGTCTTGGGATTGATGAGGGGGCCACTCTTAGGGAAGGCTTCTCGGAAGTGAGTGCACAACAGGGGTAAAGTTGAGAGGAAAGACCATCTGCATGGAGGGATATTATAGTCTGTGCTGCCTCCTCTTTCTGCACAATCTTCCCAGGGTCCCCAGTTCTCTACACTCTTTCTCCTAAGCCCAGAAATTCAGAGAGCAGAGCTGTGGCTTAGACTTCCCTGAGATTAGGTCAGGTCAGGGTCAGGCAAAGAGAAGGGTTGGAGATACCATTACATGAGCCTGGAATCAGCCCACAAAAGGGCTCTAGAGGGGCCTGTGGGACACAGCACAGTGTTTTGCTTCCCTGTGAGAGGTGCCCAGAAGTAGGAGAAGGGCCTTAGTGGTAGAATTCCCTATACCATCTCACACAGAAATATACAGGACAGTGTGCTAACCCTGGAGGCAGCTCTAAGCTCAGAACTCCATGGAGAGACCAGATTCTTAGGCTGAAAATAGGAAAGGCAGATTTCTAGGCTGGAAGTAAGAAAGGCCATGGGCCTGACCTGGATGAACACCTCCTGTCCAATGGATCTCTGTCATAGATCAGGTCTCTCACTTATTATTCTCTGGCCCTGGCAGGCTCAGGTCGGGTGATACCCCGGAAGCTAGGGTAGCACTAACTCATAGCACATACAAATGAAAAAAGGTACAAGGCTGCTAAAGGCAAGAGAAGGCAATATATGGAGACAAATCTCAGAACTTCCTTGGCTAGATCAGCTTAGTTACTCATTGTCATAACCTGAGGAGGTACCTATCATTGTTCCTATTTTACAGGTGAGAAAATGGAGGCTCAGATAGAAAAAAAGCTGTTCTTGGTGGTGCAAAGAGCATTGTCTCTCTGCTACCCAGCTAAGAGAATGCTGGGTTTTCCCTCCCATATGCCTGGAGTTGGAAGAGAGACTGCCAGTCCTAGCTACAAAGGCTCTTATGGGTCTGTGAATCCAGGGCCTTTAAGTTTCTCAGATGCCACCATCTTTGGGTGCCAGAGCTGCTCAACTGTCTTTTGCATGCTGAAGATGTGGGAGGTTTTCAAAAGGGTCCCAGGCAAACAAATTCCTAGATGCATGAAACCAGTGAGTTTTCAGAGTACCCATTTCTGATCCAAACCCATCAGATATGGCCACAGCCTCTGCCCAAAGCCGTCTGAGAAACCCTCCCTAAGGCCCTGTGTCTAGTTTAAACAGTTTCTCCCTTGTTATCAATAGCTAATCCTCAGCACTATGCTGGACATTTTGCCTGCATGACCTTAATCCTCATGACATCACAATGAGAAAGGCACTATTCTTGACCCTATTTGAAAATGGGGAAGCTGAACTGGAGAGAGATAAAGGGGACTTCCTTAAGGCCCGTGATTAGTAACTTGCACCTGGGCTGTGCACCCAGTTTGGCTCAAGACCCAGAATCCACAGTCTCTGGGATTCCTTCCTGTGATCAGGGGGTCCTGGAGACCTTTGGGAAGGGGATAGTGGATATAACCGGGCATCACAGCCTGGGAATTGGTTCAGTTGACAGAGATGGATGAGATAGCTAAAAATGGATTGGAAGCAGTTGGGTCATGAGAGATGGGACCAATCAGGATGAATTGTGTCTCAAAGGCCTTTTGGAAGGTGTGGAGAATGAAAAGGAAATTCACACTTCTGGGGCCTCTTGGCAACATAGTCCCAGCTGAAGAAGGAGCTGGGGCCCAGCAGTTTTGAGTGAAGAGACCTACTTGGGCTGGGTAGTTGACCCCAAGCCTTACTCCTAGAGCTCAACTTTGAGTTCCTCCTCACAGGCCCATTTTTTCTCTGCAGTCTTGGGAGAGCCACCTCTTTACTTCTTATTCCTCCCCTGTACCTTCCCTGTGCAGAATGACATCAGGGGAGAATCTAGGCAAACAGGATAGCAGGGCTGGGTTTGGAGTCAGGATTTCCAATATCAAATCCACCAGAGCTCTCCAAAGCCTTTTGCGGTAAAGGCTATTGTGTGTGGGTGGGTGAGTGTGTGTGGGTGGGTGAGGAAGGAAAGGAAGATACTCATTTATACAAGAGATATTTTCTGAGCACCTGTTAGAATGCTTTCCTAGATGCTCAGAATGTTGCACAGCATGAGGCAGGTATAGTCAGACCCTGCCCTTCTTGGAGCTGATATTCTACCATGGGAAGAGACACTAAAATGTGTAATAGATGAAGAAAATAATTTCAAGGAGGGATAAGTGCTACCAGGGTGATGAAACAGGGTGATGTAGAGCAAACCTGGGAGATGAGGCTCCAGTTTAGTTAGAGTGAGTGGTCAGGGAAGGCCTTCCAAGCTGAGCCCCAAAAAATGAAACAGAGGAAGCCATGGGAATATCTGGGGCAGAGTGTTCCAGCAGAGAGAACATCAAGTGCAAAGCCCCCTGAGGTGGGATTTTCAAAGAGATTATAGGTAGTGTGGGTTATTCAGAGGCTGAGCACTGTCCTGTGGGTCAGGACATGCATTTAGACTCAGATCTGCCTAAATGTCTTGAATGTTTTGGAACAGTAAACTCATTTGCTGTAAAATTCCTACCCTAAGCCACCAGGAAAAGTTGATTAAATCAAGTAATGCAGGTGAATAAATAAGATCACATACCTCTCTCCTTCCATTGTGTTCTTTTGTCCTCCATATTC